AAAAAAAAAAAAAATGAATCATGACATCTCTACATATTTACTATAATTTTCAGCTTATGCAAGTCATTAATAGAAATTTTGACCATAGTACCCTAAAACACTGAAAACTTTTCCTGAGTCTACATTACAGCATAATTTATAGTTTGTGAGCTCCATCTTCTATCCCAGAGTTTATTCCCACATTGTCATTGACCAATACATTCTAACGATCTCCTGCAGCATTTACTCAGGATGCCATGGTGCAGTGCTCTAACCCAGCAGACATGAGTTCATTGACAACACAAAGCTGTTCCCTTACCCTCTGAAAATAATTATGTGTAACTTTCACTAAATTTGATAATTTTCTGCAACACTGCTATACTACCTAAGTGCTTTTTCTCAGGTAGAGTCTGGAATTTGAAGCATGAAGAGTGGAGTGAGACAGTAAGAAGCCAAGTTTACTGAATTTAAAGGTCAAATTCGGTGGAGTTATATATGCCCAAGGTCAAAATGAAAAAATCCCATATCTTTTAAAATTGTGAAAATAAATGTCACAATTGTAAATCACCATTTTACAAATCAGTTGAGTCATCAACTCGTCATACTCACACAATCCCTGTACACCATGCACTCCATTAGAATTTGAAAAAGGTGCTTGGATTGTTTAAGACTAAAGTTGAAATTGTTCTGAATCATGCAGATGATCTCCTCCTTCACCTGAGGACGCAGCATCCTGGGAGAGAAATACACGGTCGTGACTAGAGCAAAGGAACAACCCAGCAACGTGAGTACAAGAAAGCCCATCGCCCCACCTGACTGAGAAGGTGTCTGAGGGTAGTTCTGCCAGGAAGGCAAATGAGCAGGAAGCAGATAGAAGCAGGAGTCCCAGGAGAAGGCTGAATTTGAAAGTGAGAGTGGGTTGATCTCTCACAACCCTGAAAAGAATTCACTCTGAAGCAGAGTTCTTGAGCTGATAGATTTCCGGAGGGCATCATATTCTTCAAGGCTCTCAAACCACAAAACGTTTAAGAACCACTCATGCAGGGCGACTTCAGGAAAGGGAGTGGTGTGAACTAACAGGAAGCAGGTACTGGGTAGAAGGCAGAAGCAGAGAGCTAAAGGCTGAAGAGGAAGAGAAATCGCAAGGAAAGAGACCCTAGGGAGTTGTTAGAACATGAGCAGTGAATAAATGTCTACTAAATAAATCAGTGGAATCAGCATTTTAGTTCTGAGGCACTGTATTTATTGACACAGTAGAAACATGTTTCTTTTGAAACTGAAAGTCTCACTGGATATACAGATGGCTAGAGAAAAAAACTACCTTCTTATTTGAAAAAGGGGAAGAGTTCAAGCCTGAAATAAGCACGATATGCCATGTAAATGCTGGAATATCGATTTCCCCAATTCCTCTTATTTTTACTAATGGCAAATGAATCTGAAAGGACCTGGGGCCAGCACTGGTCTCCTCAGTCACTGCAGGGTTCTTACGGCTGTCATGGCCAATTGTTTGAGCCCTTCCTCCCTCCCTCCCCCTGGAAATGCCTTTTTCTGAAGCTCAAGCACGGCTCAAGCTTCCCCATTAAAGGCAGGCCATTGTTCAGCTTAGAAAAATGGCAACTCTCATCGTTGGAAGGCATTTTGGTGTTGATTAACAAATACAAAGCCACTGAAAAATGAATTCCAGCCTCAATCTCTGCACTCCAAGGACACAGGCTCATACGAAGGCACAGCTTAAAGAACGGAAATGGAGGAATAGATGGCACCATAGTTTCAAAAAGGAAGAGTCAACAACTCACCCCTCGTCTAAGTGTTTGTGGGTGAAGGCCAGCAGGTCCGCAGCTCTGCCTGTGCCTTCGCACACCACCACTGGGTCCTTGTCCCTGACGGTCTCCCACACTGCAAGGATGACATTGGGACCTCCTTCCACCACCAGCCTCACCACGGGCACGCCTTGTCCTGAGCCTGTTTCAGAGCACAAACAATACCACACTGTTGTTATAGAGGATCCCTACCTCGGCTGGTCGCCACTCAGATTTCCAGACACCAGTTTCTCAGTTACCACGTATGTCCACTCGCGGCACTGAGCCGTCTTTCTCGTTTTACCCAGGCGTGCTTAGATCAGCACCACGCCAGAAACTCGGATTTCAAATAACACAGAGCATCAGTATGGCAACAGCATTTTCAACCTTTTGCCAGGTAAAAAGGTGGCTAAAAATAAGTAGTCCTCAAGAAATTTTAACCTTTCATTAGGAAATTACAAAAATTATCTAAAAGTAAACAGAACAATATAATGCATACTTGGACCAGAACCTGGGCTGGAAAAGAAGAAAAGCATTTTTTAAATGTAAATAAATAAATAAATAAAACGAAGGATAAAAAATATATATAATGAATCCCAGTGTATCCATTGCTCATCTCCAAAAATGATCAGCCTTCACCTATTCAATAAACTTTTAGTGGTGGTTATTTCTAGGAACGAGGTGGGATAAGCTACCTTCAAAGATTTTTACATTTCCATTTATTCTATTTTCCACTGTTTTAATTTTTTATCATGACTAGATATTACTTTATTAAAGCAAGGAAGACCAAAAAAAAAAGGAATGACTGAAGATTCTTTTAAAAAATATATTAAACAAAAAAAGTTATAGAATAATAGGCATAGTATTATCCTATTTATTTTTTAAGACCATGTAAGACATAGACATGAATTTTTAAGACATAGATATGAATTTTATATGTATGCACACACATAGGTATATTATTTATAGCATGTTATATACATAACCGGAAAACTCTGGAAGGATACACATCAAACTATGAACAGTGGAAAAGGGAGGGGAAGGCTTGAGAAATGTTGAAAAGGGACTTTGTTTATTCTATAAATTTCTTATTTCATTTATGTTTTTATACCACACATACATTGATATATTACATTTGAATCACTATTTTTCCTTTTATTTTTCAAAAGAAGAAAAATTGTCAGCAAATACACTCATCCTAAGCAAGAGTGGACTTTACTCTGGGCCCCATGTGCTCAGGGGCCCACTCTGGCCCTCCTCTGGCCATGCCCCTGCCCTCACGGTGAGGAGTCTACAAGGCCAAGGGGCAAGGCAAGCCTGTGCCTGCTCGCCTACTTACTAGAGTACCCAAGACACCAAAATCCCTGCTTCCAGGGTCTGCTTGTGCCTCTGCCCCAGCTGTGTCCTCCCCAAGGACGTACTTGCCAGAGGTCAGCTTTGTGGGGTAGAGGAGAGGTAGACAGAGTTTTGATATACAGACCTGAGTGTCCAGCGGACCACATGTGAGTGAGGTCCCTGGCACTGCAGGGGTGAGCCAAGGGTAGGCAGAGAAGCAGAGGGCAGGCCACAGGCAAGAGCCCAGGTATGAGCTCACCTTACCACCACGTTCTGGCTCAGTACTTCCCAAAATCCAAGAATTCCCAACTTAAATCTGGCCTTCCAGCTATCTGTGTCAAAATAAAAGGCTAGTACATATTCTGTACAGTTTTTAAGCTTGATTTATGGCATTTAAATATTTAGAAATATTGTATTTGGGCTTCTGTGCACATTCTTGTGTCAGACTGTCCAATGTCAGGGGTGGTTTCTTAGCAGGCATCCAAGTATCAAGAAATACTGCACCGAGTCTATTTAATTGTTCTGATGTTCTATTTCTTTTTCTTTTCCACATATCTCCACCTCCATATTATTATTAAAAAGCAAATCTAAGATGTACCAACTAATAGACATGGGGTTTCTCTAATAATATAGTCTTATGAAAGCTAAATGAAATGGGGGAAATGGTTTAACAAGGCACAAAAGGATTGGAAGAGAATTTAGGTAAATATTTCATTAATTTTAGAATAGAAAAAAACTTTTATAAGAGAATTTCTTATATCCCATGTGATGGAATATTATGCAGGCATTAAAAATGTGCTAAATTATACTTATTGACATGGAAATACATCCATGTTTAGCAGGGAGAAATGACTTTAAAAGAAGCATGGCTGGGCGTGGTGGCTCACACCTGTAGTCTTAGCACTTTGGGAGGCCAAGGCAGGAGGATCACTTGAGCCCCAGACTTTCAGGTTGCAGTGAGCTGTAATCGCAACATTCTAGACTGAGCAACAGGGTGAGACCCTGTCTCTTCAAAAAAAAAGAAAAAGAATAATAAGAAGAAGAATGGATGTGATACCACCCCGGTTTTTGCTTAAAAAATATTGCTCTGTTGGGGGTGGGTGTGTGTGTGTGTGTGTGTGTGTGTGTGTGTGTGTATAGAAAATTTCCAAAAGCATACATCTGAAAAAAGTTAACAATGGTTAGTTCTGATAGTGAGATTACAGAAAACTATCTTTTTCTTCTCTTATATACTTTCTTCTCTTTATCTGAATATGAAAGTATATTATAATTTTACCATCAGAAAAAGAAATCAATGGGAGCATTTTGCAGAAGAGGGGAAAAGAGAATTCAATTTCTATTAGGTACACTTTTCTTGGGGCCATAAACTAATTCCCACAAAAGTAAATATATTTATGGCTGTGTTCTACAAAAAGGATTTACTGATGCTACTAATAAAATTTGTTTAAAAAGAAAAAAATTACAAAGTTCTTGCTGAGAAATCTCACTAGAGAGCCGCCTCCACTGCAGGCTCCCAGATCAGCTTTGATACGTAAGAATTTGGGGTTCGTTGGGGGCACTTTTCTTTTGTCTTCTCTTTCTTCCTTGTGTGTGTGTGGGGGGGGTGGCTCGTCATTTGATGTTTTTATATGGGTTCTCCTTAGAGTAGTAAATGTTACCAGTCCACTGGAATTGACTCCACATTCTTTCTTCACAGTCAGCGAAACTGTCCAGATAAATCCTAAATTTCAAGATCACTGAAGGTAGAAATGTCACCTGCCGCTGTAAGCCAGCTCAGGGCTGCTTGCATTCACACAAAAAGGGGGGCTCAGCAAGGAATAAGAAAGACAATGACACTTACGCTTCTCATGGGACACACATTATAGTGACGCAAACAACCCGAGCAAGGTAGGTGGTGAGCACAGGTCAACAGAGGCAACTGGACACTTCAAGTAACTAATATTTCAGGCCCCCAGCAGGTCCTCCCCTGTGGGAATTCTTCCTCAAGGTTGTTCTCTGACCACTCCTCCTTCCCTCTGCTCTGTTGGTCTCCCTTCCCCCCATGCACCCCCACCCCACAAAGGACCACACACCTGATTTCTCTCTCCATTTTCTGACCTAAATGAGCTTCAGAACCTTTATTCACACTGAGCTCTAAGTGACTGGCAACAATTCCCAGAGTCCCTCCTGTCCCCAGCCTTCCCCACAGACATGAGATGACCACTGTACCAAGGGAGGTAAAAAGGAAAGAAAGAAACAGACCTTTGTTAAAGACACATGGTGCACCCAACACTATTCTAGACACACCTAACGTATTTCTTCTCAGTTCTCACAACAAAAGTCAGAGGTAGACAGTTCCTTCTGTTTTATGATAAGAAATTGTTTGACAGATGTGGGCGCCATTGCCCAAGTTCGCAGGCAGTAAATGACAGAGCCTTAATCGGTCTGACCTGGTTACATTCCGCTGCCTCAGGAGATGAAGGCTCAAAACTAAACAGCTTTTGGACTTTCACTTTTCCAGCCAACAACACTCAAAAATGGAAGATGACTTGAGCCTCCTGAGGGCATTCCCACTCCCTGGCCCTCTGCCCTAAAGGAGCATTCTGTGGAAGATTTCATTCAGTACAAGAGGCAGAGGCCCAGCTTCTTCAGCCTTGGACCAAAAGCCTCCCTCTTCCCATTCGGCACCCAGCCCCCCTGCTCTCTGTAAAGGATTCGCCCCTCTCTGCCCAGTGGTGTGCACCAGTTCTGGGCCTCCCCTGCGCTCTCCCTCCTACAGACACTGCTACCAAAATGGCCCTCTCGAAGCACCACCGTGAGCATGGCACAAACATGACACCTCCCAAGGTCCCTATTTCTAAAAGCCTATCTGGTTTTAACCCCTTCCCTGTCTGAGACCACTCCACTCACACATGACATGTCCTCTTCCCGGACCATCAGAGCTCATCCCTTTGCTCCCCTCAGTCTCCTCGTACCTCTTCACCCCTTCCCATTCCCGCTTTGGTGGCTTCCCTCCTCTCTCCCTCCATATATCCAACCCCAAGGGCTCTTCCAGCCTCTGCTAAAGTCTCCATCTTCCCATGATCCCTCAAAGATTTCTTCCTCCCTCCCAACTGTCGCCCACAAGTCTGCACCCCCTTACATCCTGCTTTCTTCCAGCTTCAGGTTCCCACGTTAACTTACTCTCTCCAGCCGCTCTAAGGCAGGGGGCAACTTGGGCCTCTCTGCTCTGTGCAGGGGACAGTGGAGCACCTTGCTCCCCAGCAGGCCCCCAACCAGACCTGGTGGCTGAGCCCTCTGGTACTCACGGCTGTGTATTTTCTGCAGAGAGAGGTACTTCTCCAGGTTCCTCCTGAGCTTCATCTCATTTCCATACTTGCCCACAGTGCCATCGTCAGAGAGGATGAAGTGAGAGTGCATGCTGTTGAGTGTGGTGAGCTTGCTGAGGGGGTTACCCAGAGTCTGGTACAGAAACACCACCTGGGAGACAGCAAGGACAAGAGAGCATCAGAGTTCAAGATCCTTCCCTTGGCTTCACTGCTCCAAAAGCCCATCTCTTCACTAACAGAGTTCCCAGTCGAAGGTAAAAAGTATTACTTGCTACTTGGGGCAGTGCTTCTCAAACAATCCATGGCAAAGGATCAATTTTTTTAATTTCCCATTTTTTATGGACCAATATGTGGTCTTACTATGCCTAACTAGGAGTGTTGTTGAACTTGAGACTCACAAGTTCAACCACACCCTACATACCATGTTCAGCAAGATCAACCCACTCACCATGAGACTGGCTGTCACGGCATGGTCATATTGCTAACGGTGGTTCTATTTTCCATTTCTGTACTTACTTTGTTTCAGGTCATTGAAAAACAGTTCAAGGACAAATGGCATTTCATTCAATACAAAACACCAAAGCCTTTATTGCATTTACGGACATTTTCTTACACTGCTCCTATTCTTATTTGCTTTTAGAGAGGTAAGAGCACAATATTCAGAGTCAGAGAACCCAAGTTTAAGTCAAGTCTCTTCTGTTTACTAGCTTTAACTCTGAGGAATTCCTGCCCCCTCTCTCAGGCTTATTTTCCTCATGTATAAGGATAATGATGATGGTAATTCCTAGTCAGAGGGTTGCTGTGAGGCTTCAAATAAATAGTGCACGTAAAAAGCACTGTGAATTTTACAAACATTAGACTTTAAAAGTTGCCTTTTAAAGTGACTTAAAAAGTGGCTTATGCCTGTAACCCTAACATTTTGGTAGGCCGAGGTGGGAGGATCAATTGAGGCCAGGAGTTGGAGACCAGCCTGGGCAACATAGCGAGACCTTGTCTCTACAAAAAACAGAAAAATTAGCCAGGTGCAGTGGTGTGCCCCTGTAGTCCCAGCTACCTGGGAGGCTGAGGCAGGAGGATCACCTGAGCCCAGGAGTTTGAGGTTGCAGTGAGCTATGATGACACCACTGCACTCCAGCCTGGGTGACAGAGTGAGACCCTATCTCAAAAAAAAAAAAAAAAAAAAAAAATCTCTTTATAATTCTGAAGCATGACACCGAGGCCAGAAACCAGAAAAAAAAATGATTGATGCATTTAATACATATTTTGCATTTATGGAAAAATGATTATAAATAATGTAAAGTAAAAACTGTGAGAAATGAAACATACTTGACAAACATTACTAGGCTGAATTATAATATAAAAGATCTTTCAAAGATAAGTATAAAAACCCTGCTTGAAAATGCACAAAAACCATGTGAAGAGATGTTCAACCTCACTAGCAATCAGAGAAATGTAAACAAGAACAATTAGGTATTATAATATTTTACACCTATCAGGATGGCAAAGTTTGAAAGAGCCAGAATACCCAGAACTAAATGGGCACCCACATACCCTGTTGGTAAGAATGTACATTGTTACCACCTTTCTGAAAGGCAATGTATTACATTTTTAAATGGGCATACAGACTGGCCTAAGCATTCCACTTTGAGAATTATTTCTAGGAAAATAAGCAAGCTAGTACTAAAGATTTATATATCTTATCACAATATTAATTTTACTGTCTCAAAAAGTGAAAAATGGATAACCACCTCAATGGAAAATAACAGAGGAATAGTTGATTCAATTATAGTATAGTAGACTACTATCGGGCATGAAAAATCAAAATGTACCCGTGGCCTCCAAATTGAGATCTCCTAATACTATGTCCCACTAAAATCAACCAGCCATTTCTATAGGGAGCAAAAAATATACAAAATGAACCTGGAATATTTCTTCATACTAAAAAGCAAAGGGATTATGAAAGATGATAAAATTGTGTAAAAGGGCTCAAGGGACAACTTGAAAATGTCCCACTGGCCAAAATGGGACAATTTAAGCATGATTATGAATAATAACTGTATTGATTTATGGATTAAAACACACCAAATATGTTTAAATTCAGGAGTTTTAAAAACCACATCGTTCACCTTTAATTATCTTGAGACTGGCAAATAAAGAGAAAGAATCACGTCTTTCTTTAGCCCTTCCTATGTAGCTGTACCACAAGGCAAACCAAGTGGTTAATGAGAAAACGTTTCTCTTTATAGAGTATTTCAGTATTTAAAGTATTAAGTATATAAGCTAATAAACAAAGAAGGAACGCTGTAATTAAAGATCAGCATGTTGCAACCCTATTCAAATAATGAATATAGGCAATGACTAGAACGTTATAAAAAGAGAGACCATCATGTTACAAGGGAAGGACACACTTCCTCCTATGGCGTAAACTTGCACAAAAAGAACCCAAATCTGACCATACCTCTGAATCAAACTAGCAATTTCAAGAAAGACAGGAGACAGAGAAACATGTTAAACCCTACTATTAATATAAAGAATGAAATCTGGAAAATCCAAACCGTGGAAAACTCTTCAGGACAAATGATCCAGTTTCTTCAGCAAATAAATTTTTTTAAAAAGGATGGGGGCAGATGGAGGTAAAATCCATAAATTAAAAGTGACTCAAGCCTGGGTGTGGTGGCTGAGGCCTGTAATCCTAGCACTCTGGGAGGCTAAGGCAGGAGGATCACTTGAGCTCAGGAGTTCGAGACCAGCCTGAGCAAGAGCAAGACTCAGTCTCTACAAAAAAATGGAAAAATTAGCTGGAGTGGTGGCGCATGCCTGTAG